AAAAAAAAAAAGAAAGCATGGGAACTACACAGTAACTCATGACCACCTCCTGTGATGCCGAAATACATTTTCTAGGGCTCATGTTCATCCCTTTGTCTAATAGTTCTAGCCCCAGAAATGGCCTGACCTGCCTGTGTACCGCAAGCTTAGTGTCCCACAGAGGTGAGTCCCCAATTGCTCCCTGCAGTTCCATCTCAGCTCCACCTGAAGCTCTTGACTTGGCCTCTTTGGACCTGACATCTGCACCTGTTTGCCAGAATTTGAGCCTCCGATTATCACTGGGAGGTTGGACTGGATGTTTTTATTTGACTCTCAGCATCCCCTGCTCCCACAGCAAGCCCATGCAACACCTCTCTCCAACTCCCACCCATCTTGCAAACAGACATGCCTATTAACCCTTTCTTTTTTCAATTTTTATTTTTATTAGTACATATTTGCAATACATAATGACATTCCTTGTGGGGAGCTGGTGCATGTGCATAATACACCTTAATTTTTTTTCATCCCCTTCCACTCCCTTTCCTCTCTCCTCCCTCCATCTCTTGGTCCCCCTCCCTTTTACAAAAGAGCTATCTCCCTAACTCCTATTATCTCTCTTTTATTTTGCTTTTTAATTATTTATGCTTTAGGCTTCTCATGTAAGAGAAACCATTCGATATTTAAGTTTGGGTGTCTGATTTATTTCACTTAACATTTTGGTCTCAAGGTGCATCCATTTTCCTACAGAAGGCAAGTTTATCCTTCTTTATGACAGAGTAGTACACCTCTGTGTGTAGATACCACATTTTTCTTTATCCATTCATCTATTGGTGGATGTATAGGCCACTTCCAAGATTTAGCTGTTGTGAATTATGCTGCTATAAACATGGCTAATCCTTTCTTGATGTTTCTTATCTTCACACAGTTCACATGAATAGAGGGCTTACTATGTGTTTTAGGTATATCAACTCATTCTTCTCACTATTTTTCTTGGGTAAGTTCCTAATTATATCTCTGCATTCCAGATAAGATAAGGCCCAGAAAGGTTAAGTAACTTGTCATTGCAGCCTTATTAACAGCCCTCTTTATGATGTTCTCATGTAAATGCAGGTGCACACTAATGTACAGCAGCATCAGGTCCCAATCTTTGTCTAAGCATCCAGAGCCCATGTCCACTCCAGGACCAGATGCTACTTTACATAAGCAGCATATCTTAAATAGAAGTTTAAAATATATTTTATATGCTATCAAGCTCAAAACTTACAATTATCCAGAAACTATCTTCAGAAACTTCTCAGAAGTTTTTACTAAGCTTTTTTTCCTATACCATAAGGAAATTCAAATAATTGTTGAATGAGTTTGCTTTTATAAGAAATGCACCTTGTGATATATTTTATTTTGCTACATTATTTAATTGTGCATTTTAACAGTCATAATGTCCATTTTTATCATAAATGCTATGTGATCTTTTACTGCATTTCAGGCTAAATTAGATTTTCTGGAATAATTTAGGAAACATAGAAAAATGTGCACTAAGAATTGTTCAGTACTTGCTTAGGACTAGAAGAATAAGAATGTTTGCAAGATGATTTACTGAATATTCTAACCCCACCATTGAGATCTACTGCTTGGGGGGAAAAAAGATTCCTTTCAAAATATTATTGCTCATTGACAATGTACCTCATCACCCAAGAGCTCTGACAGCGAGGTCCCATAAAATTAATGTTTTCATGCTTACTAACAAAATCCACTCTGCAGCCTGAGACTCAAGAAGTAATTGTGACTTTTGAGTCTTATTATTTAAAAAATATATTTTATAAGGATCTAGCTGCCATGGATAGAGATTCCTCTGGTGGATGTGGCCAAAGGAAATTGAAAGCCTTCTGGAAAGAATCCAACATTCTAGATATAATTAAGAACATTCATGATTCAAGAGAGATCAAAAGTCAACATTAACAAGAGTTTAAAAGGAGTTTATTTCAATCCCCATGGATGACTTTGAGAGGTTCAAGAGCTCAGTGGAGGAAGGAGCCATGGATGTGGTAGAAATACACATAGAAAAAGAAATCAAGATTGAGCCCAAAGACAACTCAGTTAATCTCATGATAGAACTTTAACAGCTGAGGCATTGCTTCTTACGGATGAGTAAAGAAAGTGGCTTCTTCAGACAGAATCCACTCCCAGTGAAGATGCTGTGAACATTGTGGAAATGGCAACAAGGAGTATAAAATATTATATAAACCAAGCTGATAAGGTAGAGGCAGGTTTTAGAGAGCTAGCTCCAACTTTGAAAAAAAGTTTGGTGCTACACACCTCTAATTCCAGCACTTGGGAGGCTGAGGCAAAAGGATCACTGCAGGTTCGAGGCCAGCCTGGGCTACATACTGAGTTCAAGACCAGCCTGAACTATAGTGAGACCTTGTCTCAAAAAGAAAAATAGTTTTACTGTGGGTAAAATGCTATCAAACAGCATCATGTGCTACAGAGAAATCTTTCATCAAAGGAAGAGACAATAGACACATTAAACATCAAGGTTGTCCCATTTTAAGAAGCTGCCACAGCCACCCCTACTTTCATCAAGCACCACCCTGATCCATCAGCAGCCATTAACATTGAGGCAAGACCCTCCCCAGCCAAAGGATTACAACTCAGTGAAGGCTTAAATGATTGCTAGCATTTTTAAGCACAAAATA